AACAAAGAACCTGAGACAAAGCGGGCGACGGGCAGTAGGAACGGTTTTGTGCAATCGATCCGCCGCACGCGGCTGTCGCGGACCATTTGTCCTCGTTATAACAATTCTAGCTTTCTTTATACAGCTAAAACTCTGTACAATTATTACTTTTGGCATGATTCTACTGTTAGTTCTTTTGATTCTGTATTTCTTACTTGCTGCTGCATTCTGCTACATTCCTTCGCGCGCGGCGCCTCTCTCGCCGCGACGTGACAATTTCGTTTCTACTGCACCACACCCGGTTGGTCGGTTCATAGTTAGTGACAGACAAACAAACAACTAAGCTAGCAAACTAACCAACTAACAAATTGACAGACAGAAGACAGATAGACAGACAGACAGACAGACGGACAGACAGACAAAGAAGCAAACAGACACAGACTTACCACTAGCAACACCGTAACATAATGCTTCCAGAAGAATTGAAGTAAGAAGCAAGTATCTGAAACCAAAGCTTCATTTTTCTCACCGATGAGTAGACGATTAGAATAGAGTTTCCTTGTCACTGTATTCCATTCCATTTGTATATACAAGCATATTTATGATAAAGGCTCTGATGAGGATACTTCTGGTCAGCAGTTCGTCTAGTGGGACTTAACATTTGCCCTCGAGGAGACGAGGTGCAACTCTGTCGCATTGAAAAACGGCCTAGAAGGGGCACTGAAGTCTGGCTACTAGTGAGATGCAGCCTTCTGCGGGTCGGAGGAAACAGAAACACATTTCGTAGCTGCATCAGTCGTCAAGATGTCAACTCGAGAGCAAAGCCACAAAGCGAAAGGCATTCCCGCATAAATCGATCGTTCGGTATGTCACCAGTAAGGTCTGAAAAGAAAAGTGAAGCAGGTGGAGGGAAATGTGCCTAAACAACAGAGATACTCCCAAGGGGTGGAAGAAGAACATGTTATGGCTATGAAGAGGCAGATACTGGTGGAATACGCTGCCAACATCCAACACACTCTTCAGTGATCGATCTGATGACCATAGCCTTCCCCTCCTTCCTGCCTCAATTCGAACGTTTAGGTCAAGGAAAAACTATATGACAAGTCGTTGATTGACATGCAAGCAGCCTCCGACTGTACGCATTTGCTGTTTTTCTTATTTTCATGTAGGAGTTTCCCATTTGAATATCCTCCTTCCGTTCACCAGGCTACTGGCCAAGAGGCACCACAAGAACAAAAATTTAGTTCGAGAACAGTTTTCTACAAACCAAATTATGAGTTCTGACTCGAGCACGTGGCTGTAATATAACAAAGTTAGGTGACCGACCAACTCAACAACTCGATTTCTTTGCCTAAACCCCTTTTTCGATGCTCTCTGTATATGAGGAATGGGTGTAGTCAAAAAACGTACGCCGTAGAACGAAGTGACACTCATGACAACTTCATGTAATCCCAGTAACACATCAAAAGAGCATGGCACTCATCAGAATGAATCACAGCTTAACTCCTTCCAACAAAGTCACAGGAACCCACCTTCCATTCATAATCGTTCAAAATGAACCATAGTCACACCTACATAGTTATGCAAAAAGTAAATAGGTTTCCCATGATAAGGACCATGATAAGGAACTCCCGTATCGATTAGACGCTTAGGTTTGGACGACCATCGATACTGGGTCTGATTCCAGGACCATGCATGTTGGATAGTGCGTCACTTGCTACTATGCCACTAAATCAGATTTGAATGGCAATTTTACGAGTGGTTCGTCAAGCCGTCAGATTCCATCTGCAGGCTAAAGAAACGGATATTTTGAGTTATCCCCAGCTATGACCCCAGGATAATCCGGTTCGTTCCAAGTTTTTCCTGTTACTCTGCACCTGTGACAATCGCTAAAAACCTGTACACAAAGACAATGAAATCGAGATCAAGCAGGTTTCACCTCTGAGTGATATGCGTCGCCCCACCCGCTTTAGCAATCTGCTTCTCGATAGGCCGATCACATTCGTTCTCGACCAGATGTGGTTAGCCCTTCCGTTAGCCGTGATTGCTATATCGCTGACAACCATAGGTGTGTGATCTTTTCATCGTTGAGTGGATGAATTTCTAGGAAATTGCTTAAGGATGTGACGTGCTATACGGATATTGGCTTCTGTGTATTTATTACTTTACAAAACGTTCTAATTCACAAGCTCATTTCATAAACTGGCTAATTCATCCCTATCGCACTTTTAGCCAGACTATCAATAAATTGTGGACGACCGGTACCAAGCACCAGCCCATTGTGACGTTTACTCTGATGCATCATATATTTCCAACCATAAAGCCCTCCATTAAGAAAAGAAACTCCCCATATCATGATTATATGGGACCAGAGAAATTTTCACAAAAAAGACACCTATCAGCAATTACTCAAGCCCAAAATGTCCATTCATTGCAGTATTACCCATGCGTGTCATTAAGAAGTCCAACTGGCGTTTGAGGGTAGTTTGAGAAGAGCTTTAAGAAGATAATTGTCTCCTTGTCAGCCACTTTACCTTTTTCGTTCTCTTAGCCCTTAATCTGTAATAAAACAGCCGAGTAACAAGTATTTCAAACAGAAAGAAGCTTAAGGTTTAGGTCTACCAGCATTAATAAATGGCATGTCAAAGAGAACCACCCACACCAAATTTCAGAGACGTATCAGCTCGTACGAGTCCGTCGACAAGCGTACCCACCGAATCCGGCGCCGTTTCAACCACGTGTAGAGGACTATAATTTGCCTCCATTCTATCAGGTAATCTTCCCATTAGATTTATAGTGTGAATGCGGAAGTGGATGTTGCGTTCCGCTGAGTATGGGGGAGGGGAGGGTCCAATTTCAATACTCAAAGGTCAGAGTAGTCTTGGAAACCGCTGACATCCTGGTAACGACATACCACACTTGAGCCAAACTAACTGTTGGCCGGCTGGATATATACCTTTTGACTTATTTCATGTTGATCTCCATTGAACTCCAAAAGGAAACGAAAATCAAATTACGAAAATGAAGGTTAAGAGAGAAGTATTTTGCAGAAAAATGTAAAGCTGCTCACTCAATTGCCAACAAAATGCCAGATCTTATATTGAATTCAGAAGAAATTTCGGCCCGAAGCTATACTTTTCGGAGCACAAATGCAGAACCTCAATTTTCAGCCTCATCCTGGACGAGATGCCTCGTCGTTGACGCCAGTGTTTCCTTTTACCAGTGAGTTCAACAATGGTCTTGATGTGAATCCTGGAACTCGATTCACTGTGGACGGAAATATAAACGTCCCCATTCTTGGATGGGGTATATGGGACTACAAAGGTAATCGTAATCAGTTTTCTGATTATTCAGTCATTTGGTGACTCGTATTTACCAATCAGCCCAAATCGTATTTACCCATTACCGTAACACTCACATATTGACGTTGTACATTGACCAATCACGAAATCCGCTCTGAGCCCTTGAATACAATAGAACGCCCCATTAATCGGAATGAAAACCATATTCATTAGCGTATTCCAAAGATGAAGTAGAGCAACGTCGAATGCTTCACCCTATCCACCTTTTCCATGACTTTTATACCGGTCCCCTATTGGTGAAATGAAAAGAACAAAAAAAAAAAACAGTTAGTGAAGCGTTTGTAGCAATGTAAGGGATAAAATCTTGGAGCGTTAATCAATCCCGTCTGGGGGAATCGCCCTCGTATTTGGCTTCCATCTAGAATAGTAGTGGTGTGTTGAACGCGTATGGAGCCTATATAAAGTTGCGGTGGCCAACTGATGTACAAGTCAGTGTTTTTATCCTCCCAGTCGATTCTGGTACTAATTCACCAACCCCGGAAGTATGAAAGGCTTGGATGGCTTGGGCGGATACCGATCCGGGATATGAATCGTGACCATGCGTGTGTGAAGTGTGCCACTTGTCACTATGCCACATCCGCCCCTTTGTAGCAATATAAACGGTCCAATTTTGAAAACGCTAATCCCAAAATTGTGATGGACAGCAAAAAAGCTTCAGTTAATGAGAACGCTCCTTTATATATTGACGGTGACAACCTCAAATCTGCAGTAGTTAAAAAAGAGGCCCGTCGGCCCAAAGGGTCTAGCTACCGACGAAGTATTATTCCACAATTGAGGCACCCATCATGTGTAGCTACAAAGGGCTACGTACTCGTCTATTCCAAAAAAGTTACCATTTACTGTATGTTTACACCAATCATGGTTTTAGGAGGTGTAAAAGTAGGACGACCAAACACCCGAGTTGGATTTGGTTCACTACAACGACCGACAAATGTACTTGGTATAACAGCCGACACTCTAGCAACTTTGGCCAAGGATGGAGCGTTCAATCAAGCCAGGGGTACATAATCCCGAAAAACGTGATAAATTGTGTACCAAGTTCTACGAACATCACTTTAGAATCCGTCGCCTCGATTCCTGTATCGGTCTTGCCGGGCAATTTCGTGCCACTGCGATGTAAGCCACCGTTCTGTAACCCGTTCGTTCACAATACGGCTTTCGGAGTGGATGTGGAACCAGGAGATGATTACCTATTCGATGGTGGTCTCGATTTCCCAATCCCATTGGGACCATCAGGAGTCGGCGTTCGATTCCCATTGAGTGGTATGTCCCACCTCCAGACTCTTTCATTTTCTTTATTCCACTGATAATTTCATCGAATTTTCTACGATATTATTGAGCTGCAGAGAAGTATGGCACTGCCACAGACTTGATGTTTATTGTTCGGCCTTTAGGTGCGGTAAATGTTGGCACAGATCCCTTGCTGATCACATACGGGCATGGAATGGGCCCAGTCGAACCGCCAGGTTTCCGGTCAAAACGGAAAGAACACCAGCAAGACGATTAACCATTTCTACTTTGAATCTCAGTGTCGTTCCTTATGCTTTAATGAGTGCAATGAATTTTTTTATTTCTCTTCTTGAATGTTTAGCACTTACAGACTTCCAAACCGGCTTTCTCGACCTCATACATGAGGAGAGCATATAGGCCTGTTGAAGAACGCCTTTTTACCCCTTCAATTTGACTGCTAATGTAATCAACCAAAATTTGAGGCATCAAAAAGGGGCTGAACCTTTTGGAAGGTTACTCACTATAAGCACATGGGTACAGTCTCTGCCCCCTCCCGTTTTGTGATTTTTCACTAGTCTAGCAGTAAAATCCAATTCGGAGTTGCTCGACTAACTGGTTCCTCACCTTAATTTGCCCCTTACATCATTCCTAATAGATCTACAGGTTCATCCTGAGTAGTGCATTTGAATAATCATACCGCCACATCAGGGATTCCATACTTGGTTTCGGTATAAAAATGGCCAACAACGGGTTCACCGTTGTTTTCCTTTCGGATTTCCCCTTAGGAAATATCAGTTCGTCGTCTGTTCTTTCCGTTCAACGAAACGGATACGGGCAACAGTGAAATCGCCCCGATCATTCGTATCGGTCAGCCACCATTTGATGCACTCTATCAAGTTGCTTCTGCTTTCGCTAATATCCGGTTAGATTTCCTCATTGCTTTTGCTTTCATTAAAGCTTTCAGCTTTCGGTTAATTTGTGTTTGGTGTAGTATAGTATTCACTAATTACTAAATGTACTGGCAACTACCGGGCCGTTGTGCTATGGTCCTGCCACGATCGCCTTTCAAGATTTAAAAAACCATCGATGAGCCAATGTACTAGATTTTTCTAGAAGACATCTCTCAACGACTTCTTACCCACATTAAGCTGGCGAACATTGGCGCCTCAGAGAACGACTAATAAAATGCTAATAAGAACCACTTGAATTCGAAAAATGCGGTAAACTAGTTTACGCACGGCGATCGCGATGGCACCTCTTGACCCATCTCCAGGACAAGAACGATCGAATAAATAGGCACAAATCTATAGGAGAAAATGCTGTCTCGAAGTCCATAACACTTAAGAGGCCTCTTTAGACCGACTCAATTAGTAGATAGCAATATTTCCAGCTAATATTCACATTTTCTAATTCACTTAAGAGTAGCCAAGAAGCCATCGTGAAATCTCTTCGCTATCAATGAGCCCTCCCCCCCACCCCCTGATTAGAGATTTCCAGTTCGCCCCTAAAGCTATTTTCGAAACTTTTGGAGCAACCAATGTGAAAGTCAATGATTTCACCTTCTCGAACTATAAATAAGTTCATCCCGTTGGGGCAAAATGCTTCATTGAACTGGAAGTAGCGCAAACTGACCATGAAACTCAAATCATGTCTATGCACATGAAAATTTTACAAAATTTTTTCAAGGTTCAACATCTGTCAACCCACGGATGAATGGCCTTTTTTCAGTTGAGTGCCAAAAATACGGTGGAGATGAGCCGCTAGTTATCCCAATCAAGGGTCCACTGGCACAGTTTCCGGCGCTAATCACCGCCGAGAACTTCCCGCTGTTCCCGTTCACGGACCAGTTCAGTACAGGAATAGAAATTAATCCGGCCAATAAAGTAGTAAGTGTCTATACAGCTTTTATTTCTCTTAGAAAGAGAATGCGCTAAGGCCTTCCTCGTCAAAAAATGTTTTCAGTCGATCGCTGGCGATTTGAACATTCCCGTTCCCGGTTGGGGGAATTTCGACGTCGATGGAAATGTCTACTTTGGCCGCATTAATGTCGACACCAAAGTTGGTTACCAAATTCGGCCAACGAATAAGCTGAATATCAAACCGGAAACGCTAGCCCTATTAGGGCAAAGCCCGGAATTCCGGGCGGCAAGAAGTGAGTTACACCCTCCCAGTAGAAACGCCTATTGGGAAAGCTTCCAGGAAAGCTCATACAAACAAGTATCCGTTGAATATACTACTTTTTACCATAAATTTTGTTAAGAGAAAGCCAAAGAAGTGGTAGTTGGCCGGATTCCATACGGTTACGAGCCCATCAAATGCAAACCGCCATACTGTAATCCATTTGTCCATCATACCGGAGTTGCGGTTGAAGTCGAACAAGGTGAGCATAATTTGAGTTAGCTCGGCCTTCATGAAGGAATAATATTGCAGGTGATGACTCCTTCTTCATTGGCGGTATCGATTTCCCACTGCCAATTGGGCCACTTGGTTCGGGTGTTCGCTTTCCTTTGTCAGGGGCAGTGGAAGCGGTGAGTTCCGGAAGAGGATTTTCAATACCGTTTACCTTGTTTTCCAAACTATCCCTCAAGCGGCCCTCATAGTTTACATCGAAAAGAAAACACAATAAGAAACAAAACCTATTATGTCTGTAATCACGTACCTTCTAAATATGACGGCATCTTCTTTCAGGGAACGTCTCCATACGCTTATGCCCATGGTCACGCCTTCAATCCCGTGTCACCATTCGATTTGGACGCAATCAACGACGATGACGTCACACAGGTATGACGTCATTTCTAAATCGTTTCGATTTCCAAAAGTACGGTAGGTAGTCGGTCATACGGTAATCATTGTTCAGGTCGGAAATCGACCGATACGACGTAGTCCAAAGAAGAATTTCGACAAATCTGCGTTCTACAAAAAATTCTACGACAAACTTCCTCAGTAGGGAGACCACATGACAGTAATACTTCAAGTTTATTTATGCAGCTTAGCTGTGTTAATGGTGTTGTTTACTACTAGAAGAATTGAGCTACATGAAGTCATCTACAGTGCTACTAGTGCTACAGTAATGGTCCTCTTGTAGCTATTTATTCCTACCGCGAATATGAGAGTGGATCGGGTTTATAATTTTCCGAAAACTGAATTCGCTGATTGTACAGCTAATAATAAGTTAATAATAATAAAAAAACATAGGATTTTCAAAAATAGCCAATGATGAGATTAGACTTTTTTGCCATGTTGTGTTTTCTGCAGCATTAAACTCCTTGTCCGGTTTTGACTCAAACTCCCCTTTGTACAATGAAATTCTCCATTTGATGTTTGCAGTTCCTTCAATCGCTGTAAATAAATAAACAAATAAATAAATAATCTGGTACAGTGAGTGAATTTGTAATTGAATTCATCATTACAGTAAATGCATTGCTCCCGCAGTCTACCACTGTATGTACGTCGATTAGATATTGTAAATAAGTAAATAAATAAATAATTAAAAATAAATACTGTAATCGCAAATGTGAGTGAAAAAAAGTCTATGAGTTCAACAAAAGGTATTCAAAGGTCATCACCGATAACTTTTAGAGTACAGCACTAAGAAATAGCAATAGCAGCTTAATGATAAACGGTCGAATGAGTAGTGAGCGGGAGTACGCCATGAATCATGCATGCATTGGAGTACACCAGAATTACAAAGACACTATTTGTATGCATATTTTGCCATTCAAAGGTTTGCAAAGTCAGCTATTCTTGATACGGGAGTTTTCTCTTCACAGTAACCGGCTCTACAAATCTTTGCAAAAACGTAATGAATAAATGAACAGATTTTAAGATGTTTTTTATATGCCAATTCTATTTTATACCTCAAACGTGCAATGTGAAATGAGCGTCAAACTTTTAGCAAACGATAGTGGCACTTCAGCTCTGGAAATGGCATGTGAAACTCGTCCTACCATTTCTCACCGCTCGCGTAAATTTCGTGCCAGTTGTTCACGATGCTCATCTCAAGTACCCGCTTCTCAGCCCTGCAATGATGGTATGTCCAACCACGACTGATAAGGCTCGAATCTGCGTCCTCCACTGAACATTCGGAAAAACGGGTCATCACCGGAGGCCGACCTCATTCGCGAAACTCTGAGTGACGATTACGGACGATGTTTTTGCTTTTGCACAGCTGAGACGTAGCAGAAGCGCCTTCTGATCAGCACGGATGCTGTGGCCCCTCATATTCATAACGTCCCTTCTATCTTATGGTAAATATTTTCTTTAATGAGTATTTCTTATCAACTCTAGAACAATAATACGCCCTTTCGTAGCGCATGCGCCGTTTTTCTGATGCGCCACCCATCTGCCATCCTTTTGAATAAAGATGTTAGAATAAAAAATGAAGTCTTTGTCGTTGATCGATCCTTTTTCTATGATGCCACAGAATTCAGTTTTCATTCAGAATCATAGGGGCGCTTTGAATCAGCACTTTTATCCTTGAAAATGGGTCTGTACCAATCAACTGGCCCTGAAAGAAAACACTTTGCGAAATCTTTGTTGGCCTGGGCAAGTATCGATCAGGAAATCGACTTCCGGACCATGCGTGTTGATAGTGCGCCACTATCCACTACAGCACATCCACATGACAAGATAGAGACACAAAAACGCCGAAACATTCGGCTCAAACGCTAAGCATAACCAAAAATTGAGCCATTCGCGCACTTGGGAGTATAGTAACTAAGAACTTCCGCAGTTCCACCTTGAACATACCATTATCATTGAAATCCTTAGACAAATGTGTATAGGACAGATTTTGAAGTAAAAGGGAAGTTCCTCCATTGAAATGTCACACCAATACACTTTCAAGGAGTAACTTCTACATATTGCTTTTCAGTGAAATACCCCTAATATGTAATGGCATCTTTTCAGAGGTATTTTCGCAGAAGTACGGTAGTGATGAGCCACTTGTTGTTCCGTTAACTGGACCATATGCACAATTCCCGGCACTCATCACCGCGGAAAACTTTCCTCTATTCCCGTTTACCGAGCAGTTCAACACTGGCCTCGAACTCAATCCGGCTAACAAAGTGGTACGGTAGGCGACAAAGTATGCAGTGCGTGTCAATCTCCAAAGATGTTTAGTGGTCGATTATTTCAGCTGGCCGGACTGTTTTGTTATTTCTACTTTATTACTTGGACGATCACATTCACATTGATTTCTTAGTAGTTTTCGTTGATTTGCGATTTTCAAAAACTCCACATCGGTATTCTCTGCCCTGGCCATCAAAAACATACGGCCCAAGAAGCGGCTGCTTCGATCAAAGTGTTAAACACTAGTTTTCGCGCTCCTTTGCAAAGCGCTGCTCAAGACGACGCGTGTCTCCTCCATGCCAAGTATAAATAACGAGGGAAGTCCGGTACAGCCAATGCTCTCCGTGAAGGTAAAGACGAAGGAATAACAAAATTCCGATGGGAAAATGAATCAGTAGCGATCAACGATCAGGTTCCATATTCCAATAAAAGGGCTCAAGTAAAAATTTATTCAAGGAACGGATTTGTTCAGACGTTCGCATGAAATGACTCCATTCAAACTCGATAATCACGATTATTTCAGTCACTCGCCGGTGATATAAACATCCCGGTACCGGGATGGGGTAATTGGGACATGGACGGGAATCTCTACGCTGGACATATCAATCTCGATGTGAAGGCCGGCTATCAGACAAGTCCTAGAAATCCGTTGAAGATCAAGCCTGAGACGTTGGCCCTACTCGCTCAGAATCCAGCTTTCAGAGAAGCACGAAGTGAGTTTCCTAGTTATTCAAACATATCGGTTAGTAAATACTCCGATGGCTAAATTGATTGAAGGGACATACCTTGCAGTAGCTACTTTCGGCAGATCTCTAAAAAAACAACGGTTTAGATGGGTGCCATTTACCAAGCCTATAGCTCTCGGATTACTAGAAGCCCCATTTTGCACGAACAATCCGAGAAAGTGATAAGTGATATACCATTGCCTCAAACTCGCTGCCAAAGGTAAAGTTACAAATTAGAGCGTACCTACAGAAAAAGCCAAAGAAGTAGTCGTTGGCCGAATTCCATATGGTTATGAACCAGTCAAATGCAAACCTCCCTACTGCAATCCATTTGTGCATCACACTGGAGTTGCCGTCGAAGTCGAACAAGGTCAGTGAAGTATCTGAAAGGCTACTCCAAACTGTAAACATTCGTAGTCATAATGGAGCATGAACTACGATACCTAGCCAAATTCCATTCAAAGCCTTACCATTTGCACTTTAGGCGATGACACATTCTTCATCGGTGGCATAGATTTTCCCTTACCAACAGGAGATGTTGGCGGTATTCGCTTTCCGCTTTCTGGCGCAGTCGAACAAGTGGGTGTCACCAGAGGCAGGTACATATTTGACAAGATATCATTCGATTCCATATTCCAGGGTACTTCGCCCTATGCCTACGCCCATGGTGATGCTTTCAATCCGGTGTCGCCGTTTGATCTACAGTCCCTTGATGATGAGGACGTCAGCCAAACCGGGTCAAAACGCAGGAGTCCAGTCCGAGATCTCGACAAGCAAGCTTTTTACAAGAATTTCTACGACAAACTACCTCACTAAAAAGAATTGCAGCTGTAATATACTAATAAATCACTCTAACTAGAGCATAGATAGTATATTGGCAAGATCTACCTTTGCCAGTTGTAAGGTTTGTAGGATGAACCCTGCCGGGTAAATTAAACCGTAAGGAGCTTTATTCAACGGAATAGAATCTATATGAACACATTTCAGTGTAAAAGATTTGGATGAGTTATGAAAACACTACAACCGAGTCACATATTCAATTATATACAACACGAAACCGATGGAAAGAGAGCTGAAAGAAATGAATAGATTAATTTCCAATAATTCTAGTAAAATAATATCTCAATAGTGAAACCGTAACGAAATGGACTGGGGAGGAAACCTAAATTACGACCGGTAATTTTGGATCACGAGGTAGAAGGCCGAGAGACTGTAGAACGATCTGAAAGCAAAAACCTCAGCGCTCAGCGGTAGTAACCAGCGTAATTGTTTAAAACAGAAAAATCACCATTTCCTAGATATTTAGGTAAAAGCGAATACAAAAGTAAACTATTTCAAGAATTTGTCAAAAAAAATCATGAGTAACGACTGATTTAAAATATTAATCGTCTCCGGAAGCTCACCTGACATGCCACCGACTTCGCGTCCTTCTTACAGCGCGAAATAATATCCGAGCTATATTCTTTACCATTCACAGTAACCTTCAAGTTGGATAAGAAAAGCAAAATATCAAAATACGCTCAATCGTGCTAGAACCTTACCGAACAACGGAATTCTCTGTTATTCGTTGGACCACTTTCTTGATGCGAAAATGATGGAGCCGGCCATTTCATTTTAGCACACAACTCCATAACCATTGATACTGGATGTTTCACAATCACTGAAACCTACATAGGTGAACCCACTTGTCAAGGTAAGGTCTAGGATGCGCCATCGATTGACTACCATTTCTTAGAGAACGGTGGCTTCAACGCGGCTATTCAGGATCGATGATGCCTGATGCTTTCTATGCGATGTTAACTATGAAATTGAAAGTATGAGCGGGGATACATAAGCATGATCTCGGCGTCGAAAGTGGGCACGTAAGACGAGGGGCTCGAATGACGTATCACTCATACACTATCTTTCATGGTTAACATCGCACATAACAATAATTTGTAGCATAGGAATGATGTAAACTACAGATGCCATAAGAGAGCAGAAAAGATAAACAGCACAGACTCACCCTGATCACCTTTGGGCAGCGGAACAACTTTTCCTGCAGTATCTTCTTGTGAAACCAAGCCTAAAGTAAATTCATTCAATACTTCATGAGCCTATCGAGTAGGGGGTTTTCCGCGAAATGGGCCTATGCATCTGAATTAACCAAAAGCGTTAATTGAAAAAAATAAACGAAGTTCCGTCAAAGAACCAAAAATACAACGGTTTTCCACTAAATTCAATAACGGCTGTAACCTCACCCTTTCTATCGTTTTTCACATCTAGCAACAACGGTTCCAAGTGACCCGAACCATCTGGGCCTAGGCCTTCACCAGGCCGCCAGCCCATTTTCTGCATCAGTTTCATGCCAACTCCACCAACAGCAGGACGCGTATTTTTGAACATGTCCTGAATAGTGATATTAAAGGAGTAATAGACTCACCAAACGTGATCGAAAATCAGAAAAGAAAAGAAAAATCCGTTCCCTGTCCTACATTACGTGTCCGTCGTTCACGTGGATTATGGATCTGAAACAGATAAAAACACCGCGAGTTTTTTAATTTCAATCATACGAACGAGTCCAATCGATCCACCACTGACAGATATACCAGCAAGACTGCATAATGCCCTCTACGACGGTTATGAAGATACAACCTATATCGGCGCTTCTCAAGAAAGATTGTTGAAGAGATCGCAAAGAAATTTTAGAAGAAAAACCTCAACCTCAGAGCCCACAAACAGCGTAAAATCTCTTAATGTTTTACATTTAACTTTCTATTTTGCAAGCTAGAAAATCAACTTAACCGCACAAATTAAAAAGGAAACAACAGAAATATTGTCGTAGCGAATAAATACCTTCAAAATGGTACATGTTGCAATCCTAACACAATGGGCTTCAATGGACATATCCCCATTGGGCTATGAATGAGGCCATCGGCATCACCCTTCAGATTATTCGAACACAAGGAGTGGGACTCTCCATTAGCTTTCTGCTGAGCTGCTTTTTCCGATTGAAATGAAGGCGCGATACGTTCACAATTAAAAAAAACTGCTATACTTTGGCGAAAATTTAAGTTTGTTTTGAGGAGAAAACTGCGTTAGGGCGTTTTCTTAGACTCATGTGCTATTGTTATGTTACCTAGCAGATGACAAAGTCGAAAACACTCAAAAAAAANAAAAAAAAGGAACAATTAGGATGACTTCAGCGAATGGCGCAGCACCTCACCATAAAAATTGGAAATGCACCGCAAACCCTCGTCATATTTATAATTTACTCTTCGCCTTTGTCTTCCCTACTGAAGATGACTAAGTGAAACACAAGAAAGAGTAACTATCTGAGCAGACGCTGTAGAGGGACATTTAAATTTTTTCTAAGTCGTAGAAATATTGGACCACAAACGTAGATTGAAATCAAGTAACTCACGTTTCACCCGTTTGAAGAAAAAATCGGCCTCCTCCCATGGCACGTGTAGTGAATACATGATTATCAACATCGCAATACATATAGGATGACTAGTTTTAAAGGGATGCTCGTCCATTCCACGGCAGACCGAGTTAGTCGTCGTTAAGCCTGCACGTCAACATCCTCATCCTGCAGAAAGACAGTTGCGTTCACCCGAATTTCGTCTGACCAAATGGCTAGCAATGCGAATCACTTCGCTCATTAGCCAGATGGTCAGCGAACCGAGCACCCATTACGCGTGAACTTCAGGTCTTGTCTTCCAAGTTAACATTTACAAAGCATTGAATACTTAAAAATCAAAAAGTTTCAACACTCTATAATCAACAAAATACAGAAATGCAATTTTGAGGCTCTAATTTCTGTTAACACAAATCTTTTCAAATATCCTTCCTTCTCAATTGGCGATCATCCCCTGCCCACTTAAATAGCACTCTACACTACCAAAGTAGCTGCCAAGAGTGTCGGTGGTGGTATATTCGTTAATGTTATGCCATGCGCCCATGCCCAGCGATAAAATAATGTGGGTTTATTGTGTTCCATCGATACAATACAGTCGAGATCTTCATGCAAACTTTGGAAACATTCTCAAAGGCCATCGGAGCTTTACTATAATAATATTCTTTGTAAATGAAACAACTTCTAAATGTTTGGAACAACAACTCTATGACTAGCTCTGACGTATCAACCATGTGGGAACCCAGCGAGACAGGTTTTTGGCAGTTTTCGCACCTCGTCTCTGTACCTTTAGTCAAAAAAAAANAAAAAAAAACTCAAAAATGGCGGCAATAGTAGTTGCAGAGTATTTTTCACTATGACTCCCGAGAAAACGAACGTGAAAGTACCAAGTTACTGGCGCGTATCTAGGACACTACAGGCCACTTTGAAAGACACTCTTCACTCGCTTTGCCTTGTTTTCAAATTCGTAAACCTCTGCATTTTGGCAAAGTTTGCACATCTATATAAACACCGAGAAAATAGTAAACAATAAGAAAAAATACCAGGAAGTTTTATTCAAATACCTTCTTTACCCACGCGTTATAGCGTGGATCCTCGGGTTGAAGCTCGTCAGAGGACAGCACATTAAGACCCGTTGAGCCCGTAAACTTGCCAGGCAAATTTTTAGCGGCCGCCCAAGCTGCCATCTATAAAATGACATTTAAAATCACTTTTATTCCTCAAAAACGTTATAATTCAACCAGGGCATTGGATGAATTTCTCATACAGCGGCACCAGTTTTTTGTCTGACCTTAACCACTTTGTCCCAATGTCGATCTCGCAAATTCACACTCACACTCATCATCACATTTATCATCGTAACATTTAAAAGCTGCTAAGAGAAAAAAAAACATGTCCGCCGAAAGTTCCTTTGGCAAAAATGGGAGCGGAAATGAACACAGAACGTACAAAAAAAANAAAAAAAACAAACCTGCTCATCTGCCTCTTTTAACAAACGTAACGCTTCAAAATCATTTGGATCGGAGTTCAACTTCAACTGTGCGCTTGCCCGTTGAGCTAACACCTTTGGTAGATCTTTCGGGGCCACCTGTTCAATGAAAATTTACCTCGACTACTTTTCCCACTTCCACTTCTTATGTACCTACCTCGTCCACATTCTCGGGCTCCTTTATGATTAGTTTTTCCTCTGGTGGTACAACCAACAGTTGCGGTAATGGAGGTGGGGGTGGAAGTAACATATCGAGAGCCTTAAACAAAGTCTCCCTTGTAAACAGCTTATGTTCAACAAAAATGGGAACTTACAGTGAGTTTTGGAGGCGGTGGTGGTGGTGGCAGCAGGCCACCAAGCCCTGTAAGAACTGGTGGAGGCGGCGGTGGAGGTAACAAATGGTCGTCAGATGAGCTCTATAAACAAGCATTTAAGAGCAAGCTGCATGGCATGGAATAAGATCACCGTCTCTTGACTTTATGATAATTCATTGTACTCCAATTAAACCAGATTGTTGACGCTGTCGTCAAAGACAATACGACTGAAGAAGAACGGGATGCTAACAGAAAACGCATCATAAGGTTCCTACATACCCTACTAACAAGTAGAAAAGGAATAGTAGTATTTAATGAGGTTCCACTGCGCCCACGCTCGGAGCTGAGCGTTAAAAAAAGAACAGGTCAAGTTTAATGGTTGCCCATAGAGATGGAATGGGTATAGGGTCTTCATCTAGACACTCTTGAAACGCACCGTTGCGGCTCGATATCGCTCAGCTTCCAGGCTAGTTACCGCAACGTACTTTTTCTGTTCGTCGGAGCAGGTTTTCAGCTCATCTTTCACCACAGGGGTCCATTTATCCTGAATAAGCTCTCATCAGATTACACCAACAGAAACCTACTTCATAAAACTTACAGTGTTTTCTTTATGGACCACACCCGATGATACAGGATACACCAGTCGCAGTTGAGAAGAATTTAGCACTCTTTCTTGGGGTGTTTTTGTAGGAATAGGGGTGGCATTCTGAAGAAATTAATTCGTGCCATCGAAGCATGCAAGTTCCCCAAACAGAACAAATTCTATCAGGTGAGAAATGCAAATTCCAAACCAAGCCACGAAGTGACGTACCACAATATTGATTTTGATTCCATCTGATGGCGCAGCAGTTCGTACACTGAACGGATGTTTGAATGTCGCCGAGCTCTCTTTTCCCGAGTCGCCTTTCTCGTCATGGTCGCTTTCGTCGCTGGACACTGGTTCCCCTTTCTCACGACGACTCTCCTTATCCTGACGACGTTGAATTTGCTGGCAGTACGCTAAAAGATCTTCACTTATTCGAGAAACATAGTTAGAAAACAAGGATTAAACACAGAAAAGCATCGAGTGGAACAAAAGGAAAAGAGGCAAAGTGGAAATTGGAAACTTTCAAACACACACCACTGAAAAACATAAGAATATGTTGAAATGAAACTCACACACGAAGTCGTCGACACTTTTTGGTGGATTTTGCATTTGTGGATCTAACGACAAACTGATACCAAGCTTAAATGAAAGAAATAAATCCAAAGAAAGAACTAAAATCTTCACTTTCCACAACACTCACCAGGTGCATCTTTTGCGCCTTTTTCCGTGCTATCGCCAACAACTTCGCCTTGTCTATTCTATTTTTCTTATTTCGATTTCCGCTTCTCTTTTTTGCAGGAAAAGGTCTTCGCAATGGCGAACGAGATCTACTTCTGAGTCGACTTGCACTAGAAGTTCGACTGCGGCTACGGCTACGACTGCGGCTGCGGCTACGACTACGACTTCGGCTTCGGCTACGACTGCGGCTGCGGCTACGACTTCGGCTCCGAGTTCGGCTTCGACTTCGACTACGGGAACGACTAGGGCTGCGAGTCCTGCTTCGGCTTCTACTTCTCGAAACGGATCGCGAGCGCGTTCGTCGTAATCTGAAGAATATCTTGTGGACGACAATTATTCTAATGTTTCCCTGTTTTCCAGCTCACCGCGGCTTGTAACCATCATTACTGCGACTTGGACTTCTGCTTCGGGATCTTCGCCGATACCTGTCACGTGAACGACTCCAGCTTCTGGAGCTTGAACGTGGTCTTCGAGACCGCGACCTCGACCTGGAACGTCGATCCCTGAACAGACTTCGCTTGGAGAACTAGTAGAAAATTAACGAGTATGAAGATCAATGCTTTTCTCATAAAGAACTTCAAAGTCATATCAGAGTGGACTACTTGAAACGCTAAAGCGGGACATACTTAAAAACCTTATGTAATAGTTATCATTAAGAGCAGTGGACTCCTGCAAATCTAACGTGTCCCGATTCGCAGCGCGTTGTCGCCTCGACAACAAGACCGTTTCTCAATGAAATAATGTTAACTGTTAAACTGTTGCCCCATCGGTAGGAAACGATTTCGCTAATTTCTTCCCCGTATCAATACGATATTTCACTCGTTCTTACATTCCTTCACAACGATTGCTGAAAACCAACCAATCATTTCGCCCTCGTCCTCGGGAACGATAGGGTGAGATCCTTACCGGTGCTTTAGGCGGGCGCCTGAACATCAGTAAGAGTCATCGAATTTTTCTCATCGTTACGTTAAAAGAGCAATATTAATTACAACCAATCATGATCAAAAACCAGGTAGCATTGTGGTGAACCTACGTTGATCGCGCCTTGGCCATAATCTCGTCGTCCGTAACTGGGCTGGCGCTTGGTAAATTTGGTCGTCGCCGTTTTCTTGACTGCTTTTCCTTCGACCCTGAATACAACTTATAATCAACACACGGAACCTGCTTGCAAAACTTTATTCTGAGTTCTACCCGCTCCCTTCACAGCCTTATTGCAATTATGTTGGGGCTATGAACGCGCATAACCGAGTCTCAACTTCGACGAGATGAGAAAAGGGGCAGTTCTATATGCAATGAGAACTTCAATTAAAGAAAATACAATTTTTGCACCTGTTTTGGATATAACGGCGGATGATCCTTCGACAACTTTCGTCAGTCTTGCGAGCTTCGCATTATACTGAAAATAACACTGATCTTCAATCCTAAGAATCATTACACTGTTGCTGGAGATTTAAAAGGGAAGTACAAAGAGGAATATACCAGAAAGCCTCAAAGTACCAATCGGATACAAACCTTTGGTTGAGCAGCGGCCGTTAACTCTTCCACTATTTCTTTTTCCAGTTCGCCATCACTGATAGGCTCAGGGACAGGGCTTTTGGGGAGGACAGCCGCTGATTTGGTCTGCTTAGAAGGCGGTGGTGGGGCACATGGTCCAAAAGTTGATTCTTTTTCGTCCTCATCAGCCGATATATCCATCATACTTGAAAATAATGCACTTATTCAAGGAAGAAACTAGCCCTAAAAAGTTAACTGCTTGATTAAAGCAAAAAGAGAACCTTCCAGGTTTAATGTAGTCGCAATGTTTTGATTCCGCATCCGATGCATTACCACCGTCACTCTTTGGTTGATTTTGATTGGCGAAAATTTCTCCCAAGGCAGATTTCACTTTCAAGTTTCGGGGGATAAAATCTCCTCGACCCTTCTCGGCTATCACCTGCAAAACCAGCGAAATTTCTACTGAGGATACCTCGTCAACTGCGTGGAATAAAAAGACAGTGAATAAGGAATTCCGAAACAACCCAATCAATTAACACAAAAGAGCGAACCTTGTTAAGAACGACAGATTCTCGCTTCTCTATAGGTGGCGGTTCGTCGTCGTCAGCATCCTTCTTCACAGTTTTCGATAAGGGAAAAGCTTTTGATGGGCGTGGCCTGCCTAGCGGAGGAGCGACAGGAATAGCAGCTGTAACATTCTAGAAATGAGGACGGAGATGTGGATTAGGGACGGGCTGAAGGGCATCAACGCAGCTGTTCAAGTTACAATCATCTACGTCAAGCAACATCACTTACATAAATCAAGCTTTTCTCCAATTTTACTAGAAATATTGATCTTCAGCTTTGCTTCCTTCATAACCGTGCGGAAATCCGCTCCAACTGGTAAATCGTCCTCATCGGAAATCTAAAGTTATAAAAATGTACAATAGAAAATATTTTCGATCGAGTAGCTATTTCTGGAAAACTATAAATCCAGTTCTGTGTAGAGCCTGGCTAAGAAAAGAAAAACGGTTACAGGACATAGATAAACATAAAACGCCATCATCAACATCAAGACGGTGGTCACGAATTCTTTGCCAATTCAAAATGATATTGGATCATAGGGAACTGGAGGATAAATGGATAGAAACATGCTCACCTCATGAAGAGAACTCCGATCGGGAATTGGACGAAGTGGAGACAATGGCAACGCTCCGGACTTCTTCTCGGGTAACACCTCCTTTGGCGGTTCCGAGTTCACAGCAGGTGCTGGTGATAGGTTTACACTTCGAGAGAGAGATCTTGACTTCTCTCTTTCTGACTTCCCCGATCGACTCCTGGTTCTCGACCGACTTCTTGATCTGGGAGAAAAACATTAACTATCACGAATTCAAAGAAATCTCTAAAATCACTACCTTTTCCGATGTTTCTTATGGGAACGGGTACGCGAGCCACTACGGTGGTGCTTCGAGCGATGTTTCTTCTTTTTCTTGGACTTTTTATGCTTATGTTCCTTTGACTTCTTCTTAGCCTTTTTTGCAGCAGCCAAATCCTCCACGGAGAATGGCTGTAATGATGTACTAATTCAATCGATTGAGCCCTGACTGACGCTACCGGCTTGCAAGAAACGAAAATACAATTGCTTTGAACCGATATACCTCTATAGACCATCGTACTTTTACTGAAGGTAAAATACCTTTCCCTACCCGTGACTTTCTGAGAGGAATCTAACTCATTCCCCAGCTCCACATTCATGTGGCCCTTAACTGAACTGTAGCTACGCTTTCTTGCCCTCAGAAGTTTAGAGCTTTATAGAGACTAAACCACAGTTTCTGTGAAAACATTGAAAAATATATTGCTAAAGAATAAGTGGATGGTCACGCAGGGTGAGCATTGGCTCAATTCCATTTGGAACGAACATTTTTCGTGCCTGAGCACAGAATCAAAGTAGAAAAAAGACAGAACCTGTTCCCTATAATTAGTATCCAGGATCTACAACGATCAACACCAAATTCGAAACAAAACGACCCCTTTCAAAAAACCAGTTGAGTGAAAAAAAGGAGTGAAGAAAAATTATCTACATTCCCT